GTACTTCTCTGTACTCTTTCGAGTCCCAACATCTTTTTTACATCGTGGAGGTGCAGAGTAGATTTTTTTTTTAAAAAAAAAAAAAACCCAGCTCTGTGACATTCCATTTTGTTGAGATTTTACATTTGAAATGACTTCGACCTTGATTACAGCAGAACACAGTGACATTTTTTTGCTAGAAAAAAAAATTGTAATGGATTGCTCTGAAAATACAAATGACAGCTGGCTTGAAATGCCATCCAAAAAGGACTATTTCATTTTGAACTTTCTTTTTTTTTTCCTCATTTGGTGCAAGGAGATGGGAGTCAGTTAATCTAGGCCATTTACAGAGCACCTGTAATCTGAGCTTAATCAATTTTCTAGCGATAGAGGCTTTTAAATCTATCGTTGAAGTTTGAGTTGATGAATGTGCCGGTCGATACTGTGAAAGTGCAACATTTGGATTCTGTTGGCAATAATTTATTGTAACTTGGTAGGCAGGAATATGAATGATTGGTTGAAGGGCACTTTCAGGTACATAGGATGAGCTTCAACTCATTCGGTGGTGAAAGCAAATCAGTCACGACTCTCTGATGAGTTCATCTGTGTGGCTTAACACCTTTAAGTACATTTTTCATGTTCACTTAGAGCATGCTTAGTTTAAAGATAATGTTAAGCATGAATGTTCCCCCCACAGAAAAATGAAAATTTGGAATTTATCTGTATCCATTGCTAAGGGTAGACATGAATCCAGAGAGGCTTCATTGGTAGAAGGTAGGAAAGATAATTATTTGCACCTTATAAGAGAAGAAACAAAGAAAGAAAGCTTACACTGGTGTCATATTCACCTTTAAATCCACATATCTATGGAGATTTTCAGTCATCCAGGTCATAGTTATCCCAAAGATGCTTGTTCATGAGGCAACTGGACTTTTTTGTTTTTTCTTTGAAGACGTTTCACTTCTCATTCATCTGCAGAAGCTTCTTTGCCTCGTGAACAAACACCCTTGGGATAACTTTAAATCCACAAACTCTTTGTAAAGGAACCATGAGTTTACATGTTCTACCAATCTGTATTCTACTTACTCTTGTTCTATTAACTGACCCACAATTAGCCAGGTTCATAAAACAGGGTGATTTATATTACAACCACAGTGGCTGAGGCCAAACAATTCACTAAACTGGAACCATTAAACCACATCTTATTTCATTATTTAAAATAAAATAATATGCCCAGCTCCTCCAAATCCTCAAGGGGTTGTGTAAATCTAGCTGCAATGTGACTAATGTTAAATCTGAGCTTCAGCATCCTTTAAGAGGGAGATCTCATTACATATATAAAATTGCTATTACTATAATTGAAGGAGAAAATTGATGAAAATAATTTGCCAGCAGGTTTTTAGTGAATCATATGGCCCACACGCTATGGGTTGTTCATCATCTTGACCCAGAGGTGCAAATTTCCCCTCTAGGATCAGCTCAGTTCTATGAGTGCCATTGACTTGTTCTTACTGCCTCATGTACATTTTGATTTGGATGAACTTATGCTTGTTTCACCTTGTTTGCAAAGAAGCAAGGACAGCCCAGCTCCTACACTTTGATTCTCTTTCATATGACCTTGATTTTAGGCAGAGGAGATGCTGTTATAAATAGCTTGAAAGCTTTTAAATTTTTCTCGCTTCTTAATTAACTTAACCTCCCAACTAGGTTCCAAACTATGGCTTTTGTCTCTTCTGACGACATGCCATCTTTTGCCATCTTGTTAGCTCCAGATTCTACCAGCAACATAGCACAGGAAGCTTCTCATCGGATATTCCTTTTTTTCCCCAGCACAAATAACATTTGCTCTAGCCACATCTCTGTGGTTCAGTGTTCCTGTTGCTAATGAAAATGCTAAATAATACATGGGTGATAAGAAGCAGTGAGAAGTATAGTATCTGGGGAAGCAAGAAGGACATTCTGTATTTAGAATTAGTTATAGCAGAATAACAGACTAACAGAATTGGAAGGGCCTTGGAGGTCTTCTAGTGCAACCTGCTCAGGCAGGAAACCCTATTATCATTTCAGTCAAATGGTTGTCCAATGTCGTCCAAACTTCCAATGTTGGAGCACCCATACCTTCTGGAGGCAAGGCGTTCCACTGATGAATTGTTCTAACTGTCAGGAAATTTCTCAGTTCTAGGTTGTATCTCTCCTTGATTTGTTTCCATCCATTGCTTGTTGTCCTACACTTGGGTGCTTTGGAGAATAGGATGGCCCCCTCTTCTTTGGGGCAGCCCTTTGGATATTGGAACACTGCTATCATGCCACCCCTAGTCCTCCTTTTAATTAAACTAGACATACCTGATTCCTGCAGCTATTCTTCATCTTTTAGCCTCCAGTCCCCTAATCATCCTTGTTACTCTTCTATGCACTCTTTCTAGAGTCTCAACACCTTTTTTATACCGTGATGACCAGTACTGGATACAATATTCCAAGTGTGGTCTTACCAAGGCATTTGCTTACCAAAGCAAAAGATATATCTTCATATGAAGATTGTCCCATTCTATAGAAAAAGGCACAGATATGAGGTCGGTTGAATCATTTTTCAGTGTCTCTCAATGCAAAGACTTTAAATCTTTGCATCTTGAAACAAAGGTTTCAGTAGCTCAAACCATCAATATGGCTGTTGTAAAATTTTGAAAACCTGATGACACCATCAGCAGAATGCTGATAGCATTCTGCTGTGGTGCTTCTGTAAAAAATGAGATTATCCCCTAAATTATGGCAAAGAGGGTTAGCTCTCCTCCTTCCAGGAAAGAAAGAAGACAAATGGAGCCAGTCTCTCTAGCCAAAAGTTAAGAAAAAGTTCTGAAAGTTTTGAAAAAAAAATCTAACCTGTCTCTCTATGAAAAAAAAATCTTATTGGACCTGTGGATTCCCTTGGAAAGCCATTGGGAAGTTCAGTTTTTAATCTATCACAGTTTTAATCTGCTATTTTTTAAATTGGTTTCTGACTATTAGAGCAGTGTTCCAATATCTCAGGGGCTGCCATAAAGAAGAGGGAGTCAAGCTATTCTCCAAAGCGCCTGAGGGCAGGACAAGAAGCAACAGGTGGAAACTAATCAACGAGAGAAGCAACTTAGAACTAAGGAGAAACTTCCTGATAGTTAGAACAATTAACCAATGGAACAACCTACCTCCAGAAGCGGTGAATGCTCCAACACTGGAAGTTTTTAAGAAGAGACTGGGTAGCCATTTGTCTGAAATGGTGTAGGGTTTCCTGTCTGAGCAGGGGGTTGGACTAGATGACCTCCAAGGTCCCTTCCAACTTTATTATTATTATTATTATTGTTGTTGTTATTGTTGTTATTATTATTATTATTATTCCCTTTCACCAACTCTCTGTTGTCCCTTCAAGATTCCAGACAGATTTTGGATTCCACTTGTGTGAGTTGAACCTCAAACAAAGAAAGAGAAAAACAACTGAATTTGACTGGAGCAGACCAAGGACAATATGACAAGGTGGGAACAGAAGGGGAAAACAGAAGGGGGAAGCAAAGGAGGAAATAAATTTGTGTACATACAAACTGCATCTGGGCAAACACAGTCTGGTTTTCTTTATCCTTGACGGCAAGTGAAAACAAAATTAGCAGTCACATTCAGAGTCAAAATATGGATAGAAATATGTATTGTGGTCCCTTTTGGGAACTCAATGCTGAGCACATTCAAGGGTGTGAGAAAGTTCTTAGTGGCTGAAATTTCATTAAGCTTTCTTGGCCTCTTATTCCTAAAACTACCAGCAGCATATATCCATATAGTTCTACCTTGTTTGCAATGACGGTGTCGTTTTGTTCAACGGAGGTGTGATACTAGATGACTGGATGCCTCTGAAAAATAATATGAATATTGGGATTTGGGAAAAGACCAGAAAATCATAGGAGACACCAGAAGAGTGTGGTGGACAGCATGACGAATTTGATAGACACAAAAGTTCATTCAAAGTCCAGTTCAGTCTTTATTTTTTACAAAGTAACTTCAAGGAAGTTCTTCCCACTTCAAAATCTGTAAAAGGACCGTGTAACACACAGGTCTGTTGAGAAATGCAAGAAAGAAATTGCATCAAAGCAGTCGGATATATTTTTTTTTAACAGCATTTAAGGAACAGTTGGTACAGTCCCTGTGTTGCTGTGCAGGTTTTTCACCTTTTTTATTCTAGTCTTCCAGTTCCCACCATTTCAGACCTTTCCTATCTGCCTCCCCAATAATTGGTTAGGATCTAATCATGAGTCTTATCCTGAGTGGACTAAAAAGAAATTGATTAATTGGTGAAAGGTCTTATATCAACCTTACGCTTTCCCAAGATAGCTGATGCCTTCCTCTTACAATTCAGTCCTCTGACAATCTGGCCAACATACTGTAGATAAGGTGAATAAACCTAAGATTAATTATATTTAATTGCATTAACATTACAATTAACATAATAAAATATAAATCTTGGAAAACTAGATTTGATCATTTCATTTAAACCTTCATTTTGTGGTTCAGGTCCAGCTTCATTGACTGTGATTTTGGAATCTCTCTCTCCCTCTCCCTCTCCCTCTCCCTCCCTCCCACCCTCTCTCTCCCTCCCTCCTTCTCTCCCTCTCTTCTTCCTCTCCCTCTCTCTCCCCCTCCCTCTCTCTCCCCCTCTCCCCCTTCTCTCTCCCTCTTCTTCCCCCTCTCCTTCCTCCTTTCTCTCACTCCCCCTCTCCACTCCCCCTCCCTCTCCCTCTCTCTCCTCTCCCTCCCCCCTCCCTCTCTCTTTCTCTCTCTCGCCAGTCCAGAAGGTAGATGAAAGTGTCTGTGGAATTGTTGAAGGAGGACATGTTATGGATGCTCGTTTGAATACCTGGGGTTAAGGCAGGATAGAAATCTAAGAAATAAGAAACTTTCTTTAAAATGTCCTTTAGACCAGTGGTTCTCAACCTTTCTAATGCCGCGACCCCATAATACAGTTCCCCATGTTGTAGTGACCCCCAACCACTTATACATCACCGGGTGCCAGGGGCGTGGCCAAAGAAAAGGGGGAAAATGGCGGACAGCCTTGTTTGGCGACCCCTGTGAAATGGTCGTTCGACCCCAAATGGGGTCCCGACCCACAGGTTGAGAACCGCTGCTTTAGACAATCCAAAAGCCAGTTAGCCACTGAGTTCCTTATTCATTTGAAGCTACTATATGAATACTCCTTGTTTCACTCTCACAAAAACCAAACCCCTAATACTTCAGATCAGAAAATGAGTTCCTTTCCTGCACTAAATGATATTCGTTCGTATTTTAGCTGAATTCACAGTAGACAGAACCCTCAAAGATAAATGATTCACATCTATATCCCATCACACAGAAGTTACAACAGACATTTGGCCAAATACACAAGGCCTGTTCCTGACCCCATTATCCTTTCCCTCTTTTTATTCATCAGTTAGCATTTCCAATAAATTAAGGGGGGGGGGAAACCCATAGCTACATTTGTTTCATCAAATTTCCTTTCTTCCTTTCAAAATGTGCAAAAGATGCACGTTGCAAGAAACAGAAAAACCAACGAGCTTCAAGATATGTGATCATCTACACTGCCATTATATTTCCTTAAGCTGGTTAGTTTTCACGTGTCCTCAAAACAGTGAGTAAAATCCCTATATTAATCTCCAGAATGGAGTTGGAGAAACTCAAATTATATGGAAGGGTACAGCTCAGTCCAATAATATCCATGCGAGTGAGAACATCATCTTCTAGAATTAGGTGGTCCCATTTCTTCTTCTGCCTCCTCTGAGGCAAGGGAATCTGAATTTCCTATCATTCTCAAGTCTTAATGTTTTAAAAACAGGCCCTCCTTCATCTCTCCTGCTGTTCCATTGTTTCCGTTCAGTTCAATTGCCTCTAGGCCCTCGTTTCTGTTGTCTTCTTTCTCCATCTCTTCCCGCTGTTCTTTCTCCTCTTCTGCTTCTTCGGTTTCCACTCCATTCAGGAGGTTCGTGGTTGATAGGTGGCTGAGAAGCCGTCCTTCGTTGAAACTCTCAGCCAGTTCTTTGGCACAGCAAGAAGGTGTATTGGTTTCATACGTACTATGGAAACTGTTGTAGTCAACCTCATAAAAGTCCTTCTCTAGGGTAAGGACAGGGGTGAAACGGTGCCCCCAAAGCACTTCGGTGTCCATGTAGGAGCTCCGAGCCTGGCAAGTCATCCCTGTAGGACAGAATAAATAAACAAAACAGAGATTCAGTAGATTTAGTGAATACTAAAAGCATAGCCTTCCCTGATGCTACAATGGAAAAAGATAATGTGCACATCGATGACTTTTTTTTCTGTACCTGAACCAAAACATTTTACCACTGTTTCTCAAAGTTGGCAAGTTTAACATGTAAGGAGTCAGTAGAAATCTGAAAATCTTTGCAAAGATAATTGCAGGGACCAGTCTTCAAGAATCGGACATGACTGAATGGGGGGAAAAAAAGATGCCATAGTAACAGCAAGGTGAAGGAGAAGGACAGAAAGAGGCTGTGGGTGGAGTCAAGAGAGGAATCAGCATAGAGTCATTACATTCCCTATGGCCTCTGTCCAACCCCTCTTGAATTCTGTTAATTCTTATCTAGCTTAGCCCTGAGCATTAGTTGACTAGATTCTTGTGTATAGGCAAGAGCAATAGATTAGCTTAACTGGAACTTAACGTTTGATCCTGATTCTTTGCACATGACAAGAGGCAGGCAAACTCATAGTCAGGGCCTTGCTGTATTATAAAACTGATTAATGTTTGCTTTCCTTTGCAATCAAAAGAAATCCTCCATGGAGTAAAAACCTTACCAAAGAAATCTGTGTTTCAAGGCCATTATTTGAAAATTAAAAGCGATAAATCTGTGAGTGGCCAATTGTCAACAAAGAATGTTCTGAAAGCTTGATGAAAAGCGAGCAAGAGCTGCCCCCAAATTATACTTTTTAATGTTCTATAATTGAACCAGCCAATGCATTCATTATGTAACTCAGACAAATTGAAGTGAATAACTTAGACAAAGTGGAACACATACTGTACAGGCCACACAGCCTCTCTGGGGTTTTTTTTAATTATTATTTTGCTTTTACAGGTAGTCCTCGACTTACAGCCGCAATTGAGCCCAACATTTCCATTGTTAAGCGAGACACTTGTTAAAAGTAAGTTTTGACCCATTTTACGACCTTTCTTGCTACAGTTGTTAAGTGAATCACTTCAGTTGATAAGTTAGTAACCCGGTTGTTAATTGAATCTGGCTCCCCCGCTGACATTGCTTGTCAGAAGATCGCAAAAAGTGATCTCTTGACCTTGGGACCCTGCAAAAGGCAAATATGAGCCAGTTGCCAACCATCTGAATTTTGATCACATGACCATAGGGATGCTGCAACGGTTGTAAGTGTGAAAAACGGTCATAAATCATTTTTTCAGTGCCGTTGTAACTTTGAATGGTCACTAAACGAACTGTTGTAAATTGAGGATTACCTCTATAACGTCTTTTTTTTCCCCTTGTAGCAAGGGCTCTTCTGTTTCCTGGGGAACCCTGAAATAAAGGGATGTCATCAAATGTGAACACACACATACACAGGCTTTGTTAGAAGGTGTCAATGTTCCAAAGGATCGTGGGTTTTGAGTCCGTTTAAATATTCTACAACAAAGCTTTGAAAATTTGCCTTCATTGAAACCTCCAAACATTCTTTGGTTTGTCAGATATTTGGCAGATCGTCCGACTGCTGACATTCAGATCCAGCTTCTCATGTAAAAGGATCTTCCAGGGACAGACAGCATGTGCAAAGTTCTTAGAGGGAGTAATTGTCACACAAAAATGATCCGGTAAGTGACTTAACAGTCCTCAATACGGCGCAACACATTTTCACTCCAAGGTAAATCCCAGTGAATCCGATGCAATTTTCTCCTGGGTAAATGATATAAGGCTTTGGCTTTCGTTCAGCTTATGATTATACATTCATTTAAGTAGCCTGGAAAGCCTTCTTTCCAATTACACTTCAAAAACATGAAGGGCAGATTTGAGAAAGCAGGTTCTGAATAGTAAAATTAGAAAATGAATCTGCCAAGATTAAGGTTGTTTTTATTCTAATCTCCGACATACTGACATCCTGGGATGGAGATATTTCCATAGGATCGTTGTTTGCATTGAAAGCTGTCCTGAATTGACTTCTGCAAAAACCAAAATACTGACACCCAATTATGGTTTAAGTCTTGATGACCAATAGAAGAATGTAAAGGAAGTCTCTCAAGCAACACCTTGCTTCCTTGGCTACTATTCGTTCTGGATCAACAACATTTCAGAGAATTGTTTTATTAGATTTACAAATAAAGGAAAGTAAGATATTATTCTTTTTTGAAACAAGATAGTACTTCATTTCCAAGTTAGACCTACTACTGCTTCTATATCCCTGGACATAGAATCATCCAACACCTTCAGATAATGAAGGTTTTGAAAATCACCCAGACGAAAACCAAGATTAAAATGGTTTCACCAAATAAAAAGAGAAGCAGCTGTCAGGATTGCAAAGAGGAGTCCATAGTTTAATCTCTCATCAGCAAAGATAGGCAGCCCTAGTTGATTCCAGCAAATGTCAAAGACAGAATCTGCAATTAATGTCATCAGTAGACAAATGTTTTATTAATATTCCAGAATGCCAAAGAAATAAAGGTAATTGATTTGGACATAGCATTAACCTCTTTATGACTGCAAGACCCAGATCCAACAAAGTAACATTGAGTTGCGAGAAACCTTTTTTGAAGGGCTAAGTTATGAACACCTTTGTTGAATAAATGGCTAATTTAATTTAGCATCCTGTTTAAAATAGCGGTCATGAGATGGTTCTATGTTACTCACAAATAGATGTATCTTATAGCCCACCCTAAAGGTTCTTTGGTCTTCACCGACCAATACACGGGCTAATCCACTAAATTAAATTTCAGTTCAGTAATGCATGCGTGGCCAACAAAGAATGTTCTTCACATTATTCCTACTTGCTGTGAAATTATGGGTTATCTGTCTAGGATTATGAATACCTAGAACTATATCAACAAAGGTAACAAAAATAAGATGTATTAGTTCATTAGTGAATTGTAGTGATGCCTCCCAGTCTCCAGAATCTTAAAATAATGGAAATGGAAAAACACAAACATGTCTGTACAAGTTATCAAATGTTGCCTCCTTTAAGCATCTGAATGTTTGACATCACCTTTAGGGAAAAATAGCACCCACCCTCTGAAGCCTTACCTGTTGCTTCCACCATTCCTTCTAAAATGACAATAATTTCAAACTCTTCCTTCTCCAGCTGGGTACGTGACATCTTCCAGAAGGGGCTCTTCTCATTGATTTCATGTGAAATGATGAGTGGGGATACCAGAAACAGCCTGTCATCCCCTGTGTCAAATCCCACGTTGATATCCGTTTGGTTCAAGGGGATGAATTCCCCTTCTTTGGTCTGTTTGGATTTAATCAGCTTGACTCGAATAGATGCCTCTACAATGTGGGAATTCCTTAGATCTCCAACCCGGAACATGAAACACAATTTCTCATCCCGCATTGAAATCACAGCGTTGTTAGAGAACATGAGGGTCTCTGCCCTCTTCTTTGGTTGGCTGATCTTCACAAACATGCATCCCACCATGAAAGCATTGACTATGGAGCCCAGGATGGCTTGGACCAAAAGCAGTATGATGCCCTCAGGACATTTTTCCGTGATCACCCTATGGCCATAACCAATGGTGGTCTCGGTCTCAATGGAAAACAGAAAGGCGGAGACAAACCCACTGACGTTGTCCACACAAGGGATCCAATCTTCATCTTCCGCATGGTCCAAATCTCCCCGGATATAGGCAATGAGCCACCAAATGAAACCAAAAAACAACCAAGTGATGGTGTAAACCAGGGTAAACACAAGCAGGTTATAGCGCCACTTGAGATCCACCAAAGTGGTGAAAAGATCACTGAGATATCGGTAGGTTTCGTGGACGTTTCCATGATGAACGTTGCACTTGCCCGATTTTTCCATGTATCTCTGGCGGGGTTTCTTGTTTTCAGCGACCAAAAGACGTGTTCGGTCTGTGGCAATGGGGACATCATCCCGGGCTTGTTTGGGAATCTTCTTTTGTTCTCTGGGGGTGACACCAATCTCCATATCTTGATTCATGAAGATTCTTGAATCTCCAGCCATAGTTGGGCTACAGAACAGGAAAAAATAAACAAATAACGTAACTCTACTAGCTTATTAGAATAAGTAGAACTGTTTTCCTCAACCTACTTGTCTCTTGATATTTGTGACTACAAGCCATATGGGCTAATAATGATGGGAACTGACATCCGAAACATTTGCACAATAGCAGTTCAGGGAAAGTGGATCCAAATCTTTCGATGAGTGTTTTTAGGCGATTATAGTACATTTTCATGGGCACTTAAATGGTGATGATTCACTTTATCCATAAGATAATCTCCACTTCCCTCTTTTTGCTTCCTTAACTTTTACACATTGAAGTGTCAGAAGTACCCTTTCCTCCACCTTCCCCCCCCCCCAAAAAAAATCTGTCTGGATTTATTCAGTAAATTTGCACAAGACATTTGAAAGAAGCATTTTGCAAAATGCATTAGGCAGAACAAAGCATATCTCAGAATCTTTTGCAAAGACTGAATGGCTGCTTTGAAAATTCTTCCTAGCTATCTCCACAGGGATGTACATGGATAGACCATTTGCAGCATTGGTGGTTCCAATGGAGGTTCTGCCTATGCACACAGGAAAATATATGCTCATGCTTTCTAACTGTCTAGCTATCTAGCTATCATCTACCATCCATCCATCCATACATCCAGTCAATTTATATAGCCATCCATCTCAAACCAGAAACTCTGAGACAGGGGTCTCCAACCCCTGGTCTGTGGACTGGCACTGGTCCACAGTATGCCATAAACCAGGCCATGCAAACAAGTAAAGCCCTATCCATGGGATACAGGCAGCATGCGAAACCACGCTCCCTCCAGTCCATGGAAAAAAACTTTCTCCATGGAACTGGTCCCTGGTGCCCAAAAGATTGGGGGGTGGGGGTGCGGTGGGCACTGCTCTGAGAGACACAAATCATGAAAAACAATTGTAAACAGTTATAACAGAATCCAAAAAAGAAATTAAATAGAATTAATGTCAGTTCTTTGAGATAGGCCAAATCAAGAAAGAGACAGCAAGCTTTATTATTATAGGGTTATTTTGAATTTCTTTCTCATGCCTTCTCCTGTCCCTGGACTGTTTCTCTTATTTATTTATTTTTTATTTTTTTCTGTATACATTCTTCAAACTTATCTCTACCTTGCGTTATACAAAAGATAGGTGCAAATGAATTTTTAACTCTCCCCACTTCTGCCCGTTTCTCCTCCAGTAAACAAGCAGTATTTGAAAAACACAGGAGATTTTGCACTTATTTTAATGGAATTTTTTCTGATAAAAAGAAATTCTGTTATGAAACCTTTTGTTTATCTTTGGACAAAAGAGGAGCTCCTGTGGAGAACTGCTCACCAGTTCTTCACACACATAGTGAGACACAAACACACAGAGACACAAACACACAGGCAGATAGACAGACAGGCACTCAAACACACGCACAAACACTAATATAACTAAGACACATAAAATAAATTATAGAAATCTGTTTTTGAAAAGTACAAATAAGTGCCCAAGTGAAATGGCAGACGAATCAAGGAGCTGAGCGTTTACTGGCTGGATGCCCTTCCTGACGCCTATGCGGAGTTCACAGTAGATATTTTGTCTTTTGTGCCCTGATAGAGAAACATCTGTTGCTGCCTAGGATTGAACTCTCAACCTTCCAAATGGGGGAGGGGGTGAGCATCTTCACCTCTAAGCCACCGCATGGCTCAAGAACCTAAAGTCCAATAAATATGTAAATTGCAACATCAAAGAAGGATAGTACAGATTCTGCGGAAAACAGGACCAGCAATTCTCCAACTGTTTTTTGATTGGGTTAAGAGAAAACCTTGAAAATACTTTGCGTTAAAATAAGTGGCCAATCTGACTTGAGAAACTGAAATGACTCTGAGAGTAATGTCAGGCAGAGTATATACATGAGAAATATTTCCTTACCTCAGTATGAGAGGAAGTGTGATACAAGACAGGATATTGGCTTGGACTCTTAAACTCCTGAATGCGAAGCTTCTCCGAGTCATTGACGTTCTAAGTGGACTGAATGCGATCATTCCTCCTTTAGCCTCCTTTCAGCGGCTGCGAAGACCAGAACAGGAGATTGCAAAGTCACAAGGAGCTGGACGTGGGCTTTATTGATTACCAAGCCTAATGTCTGAGTGTGTAATGGGCTTTGATTTTTCACGTAAAAATAATTGAAGTGTGAAGCAATACCAATTAAAACAAATTGGATACAAGTACACAGAAGATAGAGATGTGTGAAAATAAGTCACGCAAGAGATAGATTTCATCTCTTTTTAACAAGCCCTGGGTCAGCCTATCATTTTGGTAGAGAAATGACATCCAATCACCAGTGAACACTTCCTTTAAGAAACAATAGCAGGCTTGTATCCAATAACCCAATTGCTTAACAATTGGCCGCCTAACAGCCATTTGAAGTTACAGTGGACCCTCCCCCCCCCGAACCTATGACTCTGTCCTGAAGTTATGGCTGCTGTAGTACCCGTGACATGTCAAGGACCACCTATAGGAAACAATGTTAAGAATACTACTTCAGTAACCTCCACAAGATTATAGGCTTCCTACTTATAAATTAAGTCCTTTCAGCCTGTGCCCAATTACAAAAGAGAAAGCTCCCTTACATACAGTGTAATACAATAATAGCTCCACTTACTAGATGAGCTTGAAATGGGGAGATCCACATGTCCTTCATGGTGAACCATAATATGATTTGATTTGTTTAAGCATAGTTGGTGACATAAAGACACCAACTGGGTTACCTTCTCAGGTTTATGATGCCCTGGATCTCTCTTCTGGAATACATGCACGGAACTGAGTTTTACATTATTGTGCCAACCTTACAAAATGCCAACTTGTATTTTTCGTGGGTTATTAGTAGTGATCTATTATGCAGCTCGCCTCAGGGGAAGGCAGGATATTTGTCCAATTAATTAATTAGTAAATAAGCTTTGATTTAGTAGAAGCCAATTCAAAAATATTCTCTCTGTTTTCCCCCCCAATTGCCAAAAAGATAGGCTGATTTTTTTTCTTCTACATGAAATACTGGGTAAAAAAGGGTGTTTCCCCAAAAAAGGATTATAATATATCAGGCAATCTGTGAGCCTGTTTATTATTGTGCAGAGTTCATCAACCATAGAGGTTAGTTTTTTTTTTCCTGAGCTACTCTTACCTTTGTAAAAACAGAATAGAATAATAGAATAATTATGTCACTATTATGGATGAAGCCGCTTGTTCCTTTGGATGGACTGCAAAATTGGCTGTAGCTGAAAATGGAGTTTGGGAAGGCTAATCTTTTCCCTCTTATCAAGTACACAAAGAGGCTTTTTATCAGCCTTCCTCCTATCAGAAAGCTTTACTTGCATTCCAAAGAGGGCTGGTTAGGAATGACCTCAAAAAAGGCCCAACATTTTGCTCAAGGTGAATGAGCTAAATCCAGATGGAACTGCTTACTGGTCCCTCTATGTGGCTGCAGAGAAAGTTCCAGCATTTAGACCACCAACTGTGGCGAAAAGGCGATGCCAGTGATAATAAGCAGACAAAATAGAGTTGGGAGGATTATTCTCTGCATACTTCACGACCATCCAAAACTTGCTGCCGAATTGTAAATGTTAATGCAGTTTAAGACAGGAAGTAATTAAATACATGCAGAATAGTCATACCAGCAGTAGTGCATTTATGAGATTTAGTTTGGATTGAGTCAAATTTAGATTAGTAATAGTAATAGTAGTAAAGTTGGAAGGGACCTTGGAGGTCATCTAGTTCAACCCCCTGCTTGGGCAGGAAACCCTACACCATTTCGGACAAGTGGCTGTCCAGTCTCTTCTTAAAAACTTCCAGTGTTGGAGCATTTACTGCTTCTGGAGGCAGGCTGTTCCACTGATTAATTGCTCTCACTGTCAGGAAGTTCCTCCTTAGTTCTAGGTTGCTTCTCTCCTTGATTAGTTTCCACCCATTGCTTCTTGTCTTGCCTTCAGGTGCTTTGGAAAATAGCTTGACTTCCTCTTCTTTGGGGCAGCCTCTGAGATATTGGAATACTGCTATCATGTCCCCCCTTGTCCTTCTCTTCGTTAAACTAGACATACCAGCAACCGTTCCTTATATGCTTTAGTCTCCAGTCCCCTAATCATCTTTGTTGCTCTTCTCTGTACTCTTTCTAGAGTCTCAACATGTTTTTTACATCGTGGTGACCAAAACTGGATGCAGTATTCCAAGTGCCCCTATCTTGAAGAGTGCCTGTATCTCTCAGCATCACAGTCAAAAACCAAGGGCAGACCTTAGTATGACAAGCAGGAGATCCTTGGCATGAAAAGTAATGGGCACCAGACTATGGGCAGGGCAGAACCCAAGAGAGACAGTTTGACAAGTTCTCAAAGAATCCAAGGCTTTCTCAACTCTACTTGGAGAAATGATCTCAGACTAAACAGCTAAATGGGGCACTTTTCTCCCGTGCATTTTCTTCTGTCTGAAAAAACCAAACAAGGAGAGCAGATTCAGAGTCTCGTGACATTAAGAGTGGGCAGAACCGTAGTCCAGGAAACATTTGGCCAGGACAACGAACGATCAATCATTTCCCTAAGTAACTTGCGTCAGTTATATAATGTGTATGAAACAACTAAAACCTATCTCGGAAAAATATGTGCTGCGCTCATCAGAAGCTGTACTTTAATTATTTCATATATAATAAATGAAGTTATTTTAAATGCACTCTGCTGAGAGTTGAGAAGCAAAAAAGGCTGGCAAATCGATCCTGTTTGGGCAGTTGCTTGAGAAGCTGCCATACTTGTTCTAGCCAGTTGGTCTCTCCAGATAAAATCAACTAGAATTATAGAGTTGGATGGACTTCAATAGTGATCAAAGATGATCTGGAATACAATCAAAGCATCTCTCTCACATGGCCATTCAGCTTCGCTTACACCCATCCAATGAAAGGCTGCTGACTGGTTTTGCTACAGCAGAAGTCTGTTGTGTTGTCAAACTGCCCATGCTGTTTGGAAAATATGTAAAATTCTCTGCATTTCAGTCCTTTTGAGCTTCGTTTTGAGCTTGGTGTTATCCTCACTGAAGAAGACATTCATGGATATTTTAACATCACAATCATTTCTCTTCTTGATTATTCCTTCTCAGGCTCAAACTAGGGTGGCAGCCCTTGGGTGGCCAACAACCACACTGTTTGGAAGGATGGGCACATGTTTTGGTGTGAACACGACATCATAAAGTTGGTGGGGATCACTTCGCACTTGTGGGCAAGCCAAGACAGGGTTCAGGATAGCTGGATTCATGCAGCATGCTAAACCATACATGGATAGGCTTGGCTCCAGCATCAGCTGGTCATTGCAATTTATACCTCGCTGCTGCAAATAAAAGATCACCATCAAATAAAAATAAGTGCGATCAATTGTAGAGCAAAATATAAGAACCTTTCCATTTTTCTGCCCAGTTTCTAATTACTCAGTTTTGTGCTACTGTTTGTACAGTGCACCACACCACTAATTAAGTTTGGATATGTAGATTTATGTCATAGTTCTGTGATGCAGTGGCTTAGTGGTTAAAGATGCTCAGCTGTCAACTGGAAAGATGACAGCTCAGGTTCAAGACCCTGTGCGATGGGGTGAGTTCCTGTTACTTGCCTCAGCTCCTGCTCACCTATCAGTTCGAAAGCATGAAAATGCAAGTAGATAAATAGGTACTACTTTGGTGGGAAGGTATCAGTGTTCTGTGTGGCCTCAGCACATAGACATGCTGGCCACAAGACCATGGAAATCTCGTTGGACAATGCTGTCTCCCTTGGCTAACAAATGAAGCACTGCCCCTCTAGAGGCAGACACATCTGGACAGGGGAAACCTTTACCTTTATATCATAGATATTGATATAAAGTTCTACTATTGGATATTTTATTGTATCTGGCCTTATGGCTATAATAAACTGATTTGATTTGATTATGGTTTCTATTAAAAATTTAACCTTGGTTCAGAATCAAACTAATGGAAATTGCTTGAAGTTCACGTTTAGAGCTTGTTGGGATTTTTTGTTTGTTTGTTTGTTACCTTGGTAGTAGCACTTTTTGACAGAGGAGAGAGACAAATGAGTGCCAGCTTACAATGCAATCCCAGACCTAATAAAGAGTGTAATTGACTAAAGTAGCCGGGCAGCCTTCCCACCCGTTTTAATAGGACTCCAACTGATAAATGCTGGCTTTCTTGTAATGTTATACAGGTAGTTCTCAATTTACGACTATAATTAATACTAATACTAATAAAGTTGGAAGGGACCTTGGAGGTCATCTAATCCAACCCCCTGCTCAGGCAGGAAACCCTATACCATTTCAGACAAATGGCTGTCCAGTCTCTTCTTAAAAACTTCCAGTGTTGGAGCATTCACCACGTCTGGAAGCAGGTTGTTCCACTGATTAATTGTTCTAACTGTCAGGAAGTTTCTCCTTAGTTCTAGGTTGCTTCCCTCCTTGATTAGTTTCTATCCTTTGCTTCTTATCCTGCCTTCGGGTGCTTTGGAGAATAGCTTGACTCCCTCTTCTTTGTGGCACTACATGTGGGCTGCAGCAGATACCCTGCTGAAGATTCCTTCTTGATAAGTGGAAGTGATGAAGCTATCTTAGATGTAAAAGGCTGATGCTTTAGGTGATGCACTGGGTTGGGTGGCATGTCAAGGCAAAGTTCCCCCTTGCAACATTCTTGATCCATTCAGCCACCTGTCTGGACTTCAGCTGCTTAGCTCTCTCTGTAATGGTATCTGTGTGCCCGAAGCCATTTTGATCCCACTCCGAACAACCTGCAGAATCAGGCCTAGAATTTGGCTACCAAGATGAAGACATGCATGCTGCTGTCTTGAGCTGGAAGAAGACAATCAGGGAACAACAGATGTTTCATCTGCCTCAAGCACAGCCTTCATCTAAGTCACGGGTGTCAAACTCGCCACCTCACATGATGTGTCGCGACATATTGCGACTCTTTTTGCATTGCAGCAGTGGGGTGGGACCGGTTTTGGTATGATGAAACTGGCCCGCGGGTCAGCAGTTTGACACCCCTGCTCTAAGTGTAGGTCCTTTTGATCACTCTTGAGGGTTGGGGACATGATGGAGAAGATGGAATCTATGAGTATGCTTCAGTGCCTTACCAAAACTAAAACCACTTTCCATGCTCTAGTATCTTCCACATGCATTGGAGCTGAAACTTCCTAAATTTCAGGGCTCTAATAGCTAGTAGGCTAAGATTTTGGACAGTTGTCTATAATAAAACTCCTCATTTGTGTTTAGAAAACCACAGTATCTAACAAAGTAGCAAGGAATTGTCCATCACAACAAATGCAGGTGAGCTAATAAAACCAGCATTTCGCAAAAAAATCTTACTATACTAGTTACCACAAGGTTTGCTTTAAAGGAAGGAATTCTCCTCCCCAAATATTTATTATAAGATTTTAGATTATGACCATAGGAACATGAGTTTTTGCCAAACCATAGATAAAATTCCCTGAATTCTGGCTGTCCTCAACCGGAGAAAGGAAAACAATATTCTTGTTGGTGGTAACGCCTCATTAGATCTTCCAAGGCAGAGTTTGTTTGTTTAGAATGAAAGAGGCATTTAGAGGCAGCTGAAGCTTCCTATAGTTAAGTGACCTCATTAAAATTTTCCCCTCGTGCCTATTAAAAAATATAGTTATTTTTCTAGGCATGTTCATAAGAAGAAATACCCATGCAAGAAGGAAGTTATGGGGAACAAACTTGTGGGGCCCAGGCATGCTAAATTCCTTCGATTTGAAGATATCTGCCTTCTTTTTAAAAAAATCAAATTCCCCTCTATGTAATTAAGGAAGACTTGGATTTAAACAAATCGCATATTTATATTTAATGTTTGATATTTAAATTGGGCCCAGTTTGGAGGCAATCAGAAAGGTTAACATGGAACAAGTGTGAGCAAATACAGAGAAATTCAAGCAGGCAATTAGCAATAATTTCAGTAGCGTGTGAGCATTCAGACTAGATCAAAAGCAACATGGCAAGGATGGGTTGAAGGGATACTTGGACCACATGCTGGATAGGTGAACGTAGATTTGAATTCAGATGTTCAGATTAAAACATTATTTAGGCGAGAGAGATTGCAATGGTCCTTCTAATTCCTTTCTGCTTCGGTTCAGAGTTGAACAGAAAATTCATCCTTACACATTATCCAGAATTTGCAACACTGATCTCATCTTGCGGGGTTAAAACAAACAGAATATGTGTGGTTTTCCATTGTGCAAAAAACGGCATCTCACCTAACACTGTGCATGTTTCTCATTAAAACAGCAGCTGCATTTCAAATCTATTTTCCACTTTCTTCTTCATTTACCGGGATCCTTTCACTAAGGCAAAATCGAGAATGACTTCTGATACTTTTTCACATTGCTTGGGCCTCCCAGCACCCTCCACCAGAAGTTAGCTGTTTTTCTTTTTCTTCTTCTTTTTTTTTTAAGGGACTGACCCCATTCTCCTCTGACGTGTGGACAACCTGAAAACAAGCTCCTTGGTATCTTCAACGATCACCATCCTGCTCTTGTTCTTTGGCTCACCTGTTTTCCTCCACCTCCAGAAACATGAGAGAGAAATCAACCCCAAATAAGGAAGAAGAAGAAAAAAGAAGACGCCAAACTTACCTGACAGCTAAGGAGTCCCTCCGGGGCCAGCTCTTGGTGAAACCAAAGGAGAATGAAAGTCTAACTTATTCTGGGAGGGTCTGACCCATGCCATTGTTGCCACAAACGTGCCGGGCTCATGCCAGCCTCTCCATGCCCTCCCTCTTTCTTTCTGCTTGC